GTTTTGTTCTGCCCCAGCCAAGTCCTTTCCGGCATGGGTATCCACGGGGCTCTCTGCGGCTGCGAGTCGACTGCCCGTTTCGGATGATGAAGGAGCAGTGGACCCAGGAGCCGCGAGCTTGACCACTCACCACACCATCGTTCGTCGGAGCACAAAGCCACGCCAATGGTGGCTGGACCCCCCCGCAAGGCGGACGTGACAAGTCAGCACTTGTGCAGGGAATTTGACGACAGCCGCATCACTTGCTACGGCAAGCATGCATCCTTCGTCACACTGCTGTCAACCGAAGGAGGGATGACAGCCTCCCAGGCTTGATCAGATGTGAGGGAGCGTATTCTCTCAGCACCTTCCACAGCATAGCAGACAACGAACTGAGATAGTCGCGGCGATGAGGAGGGGAGGCATCGAGGCGGAGTGGGAAGAGAGAAATTTGCCGCTCTGCCTCGCCCGGCGCTTGGCCTGATGGGTTGACGAGCGACTAGGTCTTCTGCTCCTCCTCATTGGCCAAGAGTCGCAACTGAGTGATCCAATAGGATCGATCATTCCTGTCAACCGTCTTTCGGTTCAGCCGTGGACGTTTCGAGGGAAGCCAACTTCTTTCTACCAAGCCAAGACGTTTACGATCATGGCTGATCAGATGCATTCGCCCAACCAGCTGAAGTGCTGGAGTCTTATTTTTCTTGGAGCCTGCGGTCCTGCACACCCTGTTCGAGTGTGTCGCGCTCCCCGAAGACCGTTGGGGCGCATTCATACCCATACCCATACTCACCAAGATGACCAGATTTCCATCTTGGCGGATGCGGTTTGGACCCAGTGTTCAGGCAGTAGTAATGGCAATATTGGCCTGATTTGGTCCCGCTCGCCTAGTAGAGCTGGGGAAATCGAGCTTCTCCAGCGAAAGCACGTTTGGGTCGATCAGGGTCGCACGTCTAAAAATAATCATGGTCGGCTTCCCATGCGGCAGCACGCGGAGCGTGCCAGGATAATGGCGTACGAATGGTTTCATGCGACCAGGTCGTCGTGCAGCGGCAGGCGAGGATTGGAAGTGGTGAGGTGTGGGAGGTTTGGCGTCCTGCAGCTGGACTGCAACGCATTCGCCCGAAGTGCCGGCAACGTCGCAGGGCCAGTGCCCCGTGGTGATGAGAACGGAGAGCCTACGCCGTGACTCGTTATCCGTTCGAGGTAAAGTCTACCCACCTTCGCTGCAGGTTGCGATGACACTGGTACGCCTCTTGCCCCCCCTGCGTGAACGACATTTGATCTCAAGAGTTTAATGGGGCCGAGAAATAAGTCATCTCAGCACCACAAGGTCATCATGGGCTTGTTGGTTTTCGGCTGGCTGTTTGTTCTTTCCTGCCGTGAATGTGAAGTGTTTCGCCGTATCCTGATGGAGGGCGGGATCGTCTGCACTGCCGCGTTGCCATTTCCAGTGGCGGCTGTAGTTTCGGCAAGTCAGAGACGCCCGCGAGAAAATGAAATACGAGGCGCGCCAGGCCTGTTAGCTCAACGCTTTGGGGTTAGCGGAACCCTGTTAAACGCGGTTGCAAGCCCCATGGCCAGAGTAGGGCGCGCTGTGTTGGTTACGTAGCCAGGCTCCCGCGCCAGATTGCATGACACACGTTAGCCCATGTCAGTCAGATTCAATTGGCTCTGAGGCCTAGCCAGCCACTACCAGCTCGGAACCCTCAATACCATAGACGCCAGCAACAAGTTGATTGCTTGAAGGGGGAGGGGGACCCGCCGCTGCGCCTGCTGCCGTCCACTCTGTACTGGGCCATCGCTTTGCTGGGTGACTTTCGGGCTCTCAGCTTCGAACATTCCTTTTTCATGACACCCCGCAGGTTCTTGTGACCAAGAGGCTGCCACCGGGCCCTTTAATGGCGACGCCGAAGTTACACACCATGGGATTGCCGCGCACCAGGTGTCTTATTAGGCGAGGGTTGACGAACAATGTACTGTCGAGGTGGCACAAGCGCAGTAGAAGCGAGGTAGGTATGCTGTCAAGGGCACACCAAGCCGAGTCTGTCGGGCGAGCGGGACCACACAAACCAGGGGCGAGAGATAGGCTTGCTGCATCCAGGTAGAGCAGCCCGTTTCTCATGTTTGTCCTCCTGTTCGCCCTCGATTCGTGCCGCACCTTGAGGATCCCCTTCTGCTCGGACAAAGTCGACGGCGGCTCTGCGTTACGGGTCGGCCGGTCGGGTCGCTTGTTTGCTGCCCCCAAATTTGGAGATTTGTCGGCCGGGCTCCACACATCTAGCGGCGGCGGCAGCGGGCGGGGGGGGGGAGGGGGGCCAAAATACTGTGCGCGGAGACGAATGCAACTGTAAGGCAGGCATGGTCACGCCGCCAGGCAGGGCCGAGACGATGGTGTATGTCGAATTGGAAATCATCTACCCCGAAGTTCGAGATGCAACCGATAGAAAAAGAGCGAATGGAGGAGAGGCAGGAGTTGCGACGGCGAAGGTCATGAGGCAGGCTAGCGTGCTGGCCGTCATAGCCAGGTTCGATTGTTTGGGTGGTACGGCACATTGCATTGTACACCGACTCGAGGGTGTTCATTCTGGCGGGTAGCGTCTTTACTGCCAGGTACACGACGGGGCGACAGGGGAAGGGGGGGGGGGCGTGTCGGCTGGACGACGCCCAAGCCCACGCCCACAGCCCATGTCAGGCGAATCCACTGACAAGGTACGGCTGGGACCACACCCTCATGTCTTGGCTGATCCCCCCATGGACCATTCACCAAGCTGGTCGGCCCAGCCACCAGTGAAATGATGGCCACATCGGCGAGCGCGTCTCAAAAGTCATGGTGGCAGAGCAGCGACCGAATGGAACCTTGAGATGGCCTGGCGTTGGAGACGCTTGCGCTGACACGCGCGCGGGCGGGGTGGTGGGTTTGACGGGATGCGCGGGAGAGAGGGGTCCTCCTCGGGAAGACAGACGTCGTACTCGGCCCTTCGATTGTTGCTTGGCACGTAATGGCAAATTGGGCAGATGCGAGAGTCAGCAACGACTCGTGTGGCGGAACTTCTCAATGTGTACCGTTGTTGGCATCTGTCTCAGTGACGGCGAGCGCACGCGCGAGAGGAAAAGAATGGGAGCTGAATTGGGGCAGAGACGGATCAATGTTGATGTTGCCAAGGCGCGCTTTTCTGCCCAGTGAGTGGCCACGAGCGAGAGGAAGGATGGAACGAGGGGAGAGGAGCAGTCAGGTCACGGTAGCTGTCGCCGAAGCGCAAGCGGAAAGCGACAATCGACTACCCGTGGGCAGGCGCGGCCAGTGGGCAGCACCTGGATTGGACAGGTGAGGTGAGGTAAAGGCGAGGAAGAAAGGAGCGAGGGGACCAGACGGGGGTTGAGACGGGCTTGATAGAGAGGGACGTACTTCGTGTGTCTGAGAATCCCGTTAGCGGGAGAAGGTCGTGAAGCAGGCAGGTGAGGTAGGTACTTCCACTGAGCAGCCCTCCCCCCCCTTGTTGATCTCTTTTTTTATTTGGTTATAGGCCGGGGAGTTTTTGGAATTGTGGGGGTTCGGGGGGTGCATAATGATCTTCTTTTGGCTGTCGGCGAGTGGCTGAGGGGCTGAGAAAAAATCCGGGACCTGGACGTTTGAGCAAAGGTGTCAAGCGAAATTTCTGCTTGCGACGAGAAGGGTAGGCCTGTTTCGCTGAGATGTGCGCAAAAAGCGATAGTCCGCGGCTTGATTCTAATGGTAGCTCTGGGGTAGCCACTTAGTGGGGGGGAGGTTGG